CCAGCTGCGGCCTGACCAGTGCCGCATAGAGGGGGAGGATCACCTCCTTGGACCTGCTCGAGATGCATCTGTGGATGCACGACAAGGTGCAGTTGGCCTTCCTAGCCGCCTCCCCACATTGCCGACTCATGTTCATCTTGGAGTCAATAATGACTCCCAGATCCTTTTCCACCTCCGTGCTGACAAGAGGGGAGTTCCCCAGCCTGTATGTATGGTGCCGATTGTTCCTCCCCAGGTGCATCACCTTACACTTGTCTGTGTTAAACCCCATCCTATTCTCCTCCGCCCATCCTTGTAACCTATCTAGGTCCAACTGTAGCCTGTTGCTCCCCTCTATTGTGCCCACATCCCCCCACATCTTAGTGTCATCAGCAAACTTGAACAGGGTGCTTTGCACCCCCTCATCCAAATCACTGATGAAGATGTTGAACAGGGCGGGCCCAAGGACCGAGCCCTGTGGGACCCCACTTCCCACGTCCTTCCAGGTCGAGAAGGACCCATCCACTACCACCCTCTGGGTGCGACTCTCTAACCAGTTGGCGACCCATTGGACTGTATGGGTGTCTACGCCACAGTCCCCCAGCTTCCTAATGAGAATGGGGTGAGAGACAGTATCAAAAGCCTTCCTGAAGTCTAGGAAAACTATATCCACTGCCACCCCTGCATCCAATGATTTAGTGACCTGGTCGTAAAAGGCCACCAGGTTGGTCTGACAGGACCTGCCGCTGATGAACCCGTGCTGGTTGCCCCTGAGCATGCAGTTCCCTGCTGGCCCCTCCTGGATGTGTGCCAGAATAATTTTCTCGAACAGCTTGCCCAGGATCGAGGTAAGGCTGACTGGCCTGTAGTTCCCCGGGTCCTCTTTCCTTCCCTTTTTGAAGATGGGAACCACGTTGGCCCTCTTCCAGTCCTCCGGCACCTCTCCAGAGCACCACAAGTGTTCATAAAGCTGCACCAGGGGACTTGCAATGACCCCAGCCAGTTCCTTTAGGACTCTAGGGTGAAGATCATCCGGGCCAGCTGACTTAAAAACGTCCAGCCCCTCCAGAAGCTCCCTAACTAAATCCTCACTCACCCTAGGCCCAGGTGAGCCTCCCCCTCATCTTCTTTAGTCTGTTGACTATGGGACAGTGCAAGCATTTGGCCTGTGCTTGCTGTTATTTTAGCTATCCCATGCAAATGAATTGTCTTTAGTCTTTATGACTGAGAAATGGAAGCATGGAGGAGTGAACTAACTTGTCCAAGGCTGTGAAGGATGTCAGCACCAGAGCTGAAAACAACCTCCAGATGGCACCTGTCTGCCTAGGTTCTTGCACCAGGCACACAGCTGTGGAATCTACTGGAGCTCTAGGCACTACCCCTCTTGGGCATCATAGCCACAAAAAGGTTTTTTATGCTAACAAGTGATGTGATAGGTTATACCCCAGCACACATACTACACACTTATGCAGGCTTCTCACATGCAAAAAGGCATATTAAGGGGTTTGGATGCTGATTTAGAAATTCTTACTGGTATCTAAAGGGCGCTTCTATCTCTGCCCTTCTGCCTCCAGCCATGCTCACACCTCACAGCTCAATTAGTCTTCAGCTCAATGCATGCTGCACAGGAGGCTTTTCTGTTCCTAGAATCTGCCTATTTTGGGATTCAGGGGGCCAACAGGCTACAGTTAGACCGAGATAGGTTACAAGGATGGGTGGAGGAGAACAGGATGGGGTTTAACACGGACAAGTGTAAGGTGATGCACCTGGGGAGGAACAATAGGCACCACACATACAGGCTGGGGAACTCCCCTCTTGTCAGCACGGAGGTGGAAAAGGATCTGGGAGTCATTATTGACTCCAGGATGAACATGAGTCGGCAATGTGGGGAGGCGGCTAGGAAGGCCAACTGCACCTTGTCGTGCATCCACAGATGCATCTCGAGCAGGTCCAAGGAGGTGATCCTCCCCCTCTATGCGGCACTGGTCAGGCCGCAGCTGGAGTACTGCGTCCAGTTCTGGGCGCCGCACTTTAAGAGGGATGTGGACAGCATCGAGAGGGTCCAGAGGAGGGCCACTCGTATGATCAAGGGACAGCAGGGTAGGTCCTATGAGGAAAGGTTGCGGGACCTGAACCTGTTCAGCCTTCAAAAGAGAAGGCTGAGGGGGGATCTTGTGGCCTGTTATAAACTGGTTAGGGGGGATCAGCAGGCGCTGGGGGAGTCCCTGTTCCCCCGAGCGCCGCAAGGAGTGACCAGGAACAACGGTCACAAGCTGGCGGAGGGAAGGTTTAAGTTGGACATCAGGAGGCGCTACTTCACGGTCAGGGCGGCTAGGGTCTGGAACCAGCTTCCAAGTGAGGTGGTGCAGGCTCCCACCCTGGGGGTTTTTAAGAGGAGGTTGGATGACCACCTTACTGGGGTCATTTGACCCCAGTGCTCTTCCTGCCATGGCAGGGGGTCGGACTAGATGATCTGCTCAGGTCCCTTCTGACCCTAGAAACTATGAAACTATTTCACTGGTTTGCAAACCAAAACCTAGGCCTGCTTCCTCCCCACTTCTGCCCATCTCTTTCCAGCTCTCAGCACCCTGATGGAATAGAGACTTCCACCTCAGCTGCATGAGGCTGAACTCTGCTGTTCTGACAGAGAAGGGCATTGCAGTTCCCCAGTTGCTGGGCCAAGACATTGTAAGAGGGCTGCGAGACAAGAGAAATCCTCACTTAACTCGTTCTTCCCATCTGTTACATGTTAACAGGCAATCAATTAGGGAGCAGCAGGTAAGGATGCCACACTGAAAGGAGTCTCTCTTTACCTCTGCTGAAATCAGGCTGTGTATCTCACATGGGCTGCTCCAGGCTCCAGTTACTGTCCATCCCCCTCTCCTCTCTAATTCATCCTGAAACTCCTCAAGTTCGCTGCACCTTTCTCCATCCTGTCTGGAAGCTTAGCAGATCAAGCCTGTCTTCTCTGTTACAGAAGCTCTCTGGAGCTGCTCCCTTAGAAAGTTAACCTTTCAGTCTCTTCCCAAATAAGTGTCCCCTGGTGCCCTGGCCTCAAGTCTTAAGTCATCACCTGCCTTTAACATCTTTCTGTTCAGAACAGACATAGCAAATGAATCAATTGGAAGGACATGGCTCAGTGCTGACAGTCAGGAATGGATGTAAAAGTTCAGATCCAACCCTAGGAAATACTGCATAGAAAGCCCAGCAGATGCACAAGCTCTCTTAACGTTATAATGAGAGAAGAAATTCCCAACAGACTGACCAATGCGTCTCTCTGGGGCAGGTAGGATATTTACTTCTACAGAGCGTGTTAGTGACGAGACAAAAACAGGCCACCCCACAGGTTGCTCCCTATAGTTGTGTCTGCAGGGATGGGATGTAATCAGGTGCAAGTGACCTATATTTCAATGAATTAAATATAATAAGTGCCCTTCTCACATGTATCTTTGATTCATTTCATGGGAGTAAAGGAACTTGAGTAAGTGAATTTAGGTACTAAGTGCAATTCTGTACCATCCTGCTCAAGTTTTGAAAATCCATGAACACATCTACTTTTGCAGAGTTTTGTAACACACCATCACCTTGCTCTTAAGATTGAGATACAAAAAACTACAGCAAGAAGGAGAAGGGCCCACTTCCTTTTTGTATTAACTGTTTTTCAGGGACCGAAGCAGGGTGAAACAGAATCACACTTAGGCACCTAAGTCCATCTACCAACAGGTGAAACAGAATCTGGCCCTGAGTTTCCAAAACTACTAGGTGATTGAAAACTGCAGCTTAAAATCTTTAGGTGTTGTGCAGTTCAAAAAGGAAAGATATAAGCTTGGCTCTGTATCTGCACTTACTGTTCTGCATCTAAGTGAAGCCTGTTTTGCTCCTAAAGTTAAACTCACTAGCACAACCTAGGATTGATGGGTTTATGTTACACTCCCTCTTTCCCTCAAGCTTTGCTCCAATTCAAATCACTAACCAGGCCCTTGCCCTATTCTGATGCCCTCTGCAAGTAAGGAATCTGCTCTTCAGATAAGTCTATGCCAAACAAAGACCCTTTGACAGCAAAGCTCCGCTCCCCACCCCCCCACCTTCCCAACACCCCTAATAGCAATAGGTCAGGGTCCCCTCCTGAAACAGGGAGCTCTGGCTCTTCACTGCATAGCTGGTGAGCTCCTGGGAATTACATGCGTTACAGCAGCATTTAGCAAAGCAGTTTTGCCATGTGTCATGATCCTCCTGCTAGGCTGGGAACCTGACAACACTTCCCAGAGCTGCAAGAGGACAGCAGTCTAGTTCACATCCAGTTTTTTTTCCCATGGGGCCAGGGAAAAGGTTGGAAGCCTGGCAGAGCTTTGCTGGGGGTGGAAGTTAAGGCTTTATCTACGCTATAAAGTTCAGCTGTCAGAACTCAATCATGTCCTCTCACACGAGCAAAAAGCTACTGGCAGCAGCACAGCTCTGGAAGCAGCAGGCCTTCTCTGCCTATAAAGCTGCACCCACAAGCAGGAGGCCTGCAGGCTTAGGCTCCCGCTGCTTTTAAGATGACGACGGGGGGGGGGCGGATTTAAAAGCAGCCTTCAACTACATGAACGGTGGCTACAAAGAGGATGAGGCTGGACTGTTCTCAGTGGTGGCAACTGACAGAACAAGAAGCAACAGTCTCAACTTGCAGCAAAAGCAGTTTAGGTGCAATATTAGGAAAAAACTTTATTAACCTCTCATTAGGAGGGGAGTAAAGCACTGGAACAGGTTACCCAGAGAGATGCTGGAATCTCCAGCCTTGGGGATTTTTAAGACCTGGCTAGACAAAGCCTTGGCTGGGATGATATCGTTGTGGATGGTCCTGTTTTGAGCAGGGGGTTGGGCTACATGACCTCCTGAGGCTCCTCCCAACCCTCATTTTCTATGATTCTGAGTGTAGCCATCTCCTAATGTATTTGCCTGCATCTGCAGCTACCAAAAGTGGCCCCCTCTGGAGCGAATCTTGCCTCACTCTCTCATACTCCCCTTCCACCCCATTGTACCTTGGATTGTTCTTTTGAAGAAGGCTTTGCACGCCTCGCAGGAAGCCACTCCATAGTGGTATCCAGAAGCAATGTCCCCACACACCAGGCACAGCCTCTTGGGGATGGCATTAAGCATGTACTCGCACTTGGTGGGAGAGTCCTCCATAATGGCGCTGGCACAGTCGTCATAGCGCTTGCGACAGGACCCTCCACCCATCCCTGCACCATTGAACATGGGTGGCGAGTCCAAGCCATTAGAGTGGCCACCCATGGTGATGCCGTAGCCACCACTGGCATCAGAGGAGCCACTGGGACTGTGGTGGCTGATGGCATCAATGCCAGAAGATGGGCTGGAGGGCTCAGTCTTGATGAAAGATCCACAGCTGGAGGAGAGGTGCCGCTCCTCTGTGGACATCCTGCCAAGCAGCCTGCAGGAAGAGAGCACAGGAACTTGTTAGCTTGCAGAAATATCAGGCAGGGCACGGTCACCATTATGTCCAACCCATTCCTGCCTTTGATCCAGTTGTAATCATCTCAATCCAGTTCAACCTACCCCAGTCCTTTCTGCCTTTTGTCTCATCTGACTTGTTAAAGGACATCAATCTGGTTTGCTAGAGGTTGCAATTCTGTTTCTTGTTAACAAAGGCATTGGACATCCCCAGCATAGTTCTTTCCCATTTGAAATTTTCAGACCAGCACAAATTGTGGCAAACAATCTGGTGAAGAGGCACTGTCACCACCATTACAAGTAGAACAAAATTGATTGCAATTAAGAACACCTGGGGATGGGAGACACTAGAGATTCTGCACTGAGGAGATCTACAGTGGTGCCAGACATGTGAAAGGGTCCCTCAGTCTGGGATTCCCTACCACTGCTTCAAGCAAGCAGAGTTCATGTCATCCTGTCCTAGGAATGGACAGGAAGGGACTGTCTCAGATTGTAAATTCACTTGCAATAAGAAGTGTACATTATTGTGTTCATTTCTTTCTTTTTGTAAATACATTCTTATCCCCTCTGGAAAAGAGGCTGCAGAAGCTGATAAATGATCATTTATTTGGGTCAAACCAGTTTATGCAATGTCTGTCCCAGACCCCTTCCTGATTTAAGTTGAACCAGAGTCTCCCAGGATCCCAGATGCTTTGCAGGCCTGGGCTTTGCTCTCTGCAGAGAACAGGCCTGACCTTGCCCCTCTGGTCCCTATCCAGAGCTCCGGTGGAGACCACAGGCACAGCAGGGTCTGCCTGGCTTCCCCCCCACCCCTCACTGCTGAAGCAGGGATCCCCCCTGCCTCCCTCCCACATTTCCCATAGCACAGATCCCAGCCCAACAGATGGTAGGCATGTGATATGCTAGCTAATGCTGCGAGGAGTCTGTGTGTGTGTCTCCAATTTCACTGGGACAGGCAGCCAGAACAGTGCCCGCTTAGGGCTTTTTGGGGCGAATCAACAGGTCAGCTGGTAATGTCCCTCCATTCCTTCCTTGGAAGAAGCTATTTAAGAAAAGCTTGAACTAATGAGAGAGGCTTTTGCTTTGCTGATGGGCTGATAAATGCTCTGTTATCAGCTCCCTGCTGGCTCCCTCACTTGTCAGGTTTGCTGCAGACAGTATGAAGAAGCAAGTAGAGGGACACTGAAAAGCACAGTATTATCAAGAGCTGCATGCACTGCACACCCTGCCCTTTGCTTCAGAGTGCTAACCTGGGGCTCAGGTCTGGCAACACTCCTGCCTCTTGAGCAGTGAGTGGGGAAAAGCCTGGGACAGTGCAGGCAGGGTGGGGGTTTACACCCCTCACTAATCAGAGCATTCTGTCAGGGCCTGGCCACAGACCCCTTCCCCCCCCCCAGCTCAGGACTGTGGAAGGGAAGGGAGGGCTGCTCTAGTGCTCCCTGCCCTGCTCCTCGGCTTCTAGCCTGAGCCACTGCATGCATATGCCTGCATTTCTTCAGTCCAGAGGGCATGTCTGTACAGTTACAAACTGGCTCAGCCTAGCCAGGTTGGACTAACCTACAAAGATTGAATCAATTCAGGCTTAGGCTTTTTGAATGTCTGTCCCTAGACACTTTAAAATCCATAATAGTACTTAACCTCTCATCCCATGACTACTCAGTTTCCCCACTTGTGAGGGAATTTGTCAAACCCTTAGAAAAGCCAAATAAATGATACCACGGGGGTTCTTTGCTGCTTAAAAAATTCTATTTGATTGGAGATCCATGATTTTCCTTTGAGGCAGCTCTGTTGGTTTGTAGTTACTATATCATGGCTATCTAGGTATTTTATCATTGCATTTCTAATTCTAATTTTAATCCATTTACCTGATAAATGTATACATAGCAACATCTGGCCACCAGAGAGGTAAAACCATGACAGAGGACAAGATAGAGCTTTTGTTGTATATCAAGATTAAAGCACACATGTCTATAGATGGCTGGGCTGTTATTTATTCCTATACATGAGTGTTGTGATTGCGTATTGGTCTACATGTGTGCACATATGCAGCAGCTTCATGATATTGTACCCAAAGAATCTTGTGGTCTCAAGACTACAATAACAACAACTTTGTTCTAACCAAGACTCCTAATTTTCCTTCCTATATTCTCTATTTAGGCCAGCATGTCTGAACTCCTACTTGTGCCACCTGAAGTAGATCTGCCCAACAACTCTGCTACCTAGAGAAACTGCTGACCATGATAGTGTGAGATGGAAGCTCTCACTCTTGGGCTTCTCTGTACCAGGGATACTAAAGAGGAACACAGCCATCCATTAGTCCATCCATCAGTCCTTCTCGGAGACAGCTCTCAAGAGTTCCTGCTCATCTAAGCTCTGCCCAGCAAAGGGCTACAGTGGACTACAAGGCACAGCATCTTGCAAAACATTTAGCTGACTGAAGCTGTGTTTATCTTTTATGCAGCTAAAGAGACTACAATTCTCAGCGTCAAAAGTTGCCTTACTAGCTTGGATTAGAATACTACTCTGTATGCTGGGAGATACCTTAAGCCTCCATAGCCTCATCTCCAGATTAAAGATGAAAGCTGCCATGGTGACTGCATTCTTGAACTCTGCTGGCTTCACTCCCCATCACTGATCTCAAGACCAGTTGACACAATAACAGTTACCACTTTAATATCATGGCTGGGTCATAACAGAAGATAATGCTCAAACAAAACCACGTCAGCTGCCATTTACTATACCAAGGAACTGATGGGTGGAAGAAAAAAAGAAAAAAACCCAAAATTATAAAGATAAGGCAAGATGGTGGCAAGTTCTTAAGGTGGTCAGAGGACAATTTCCTGCTTTAAGCAAGTTGAGGAAACAGTTCAGTCACAAATTTAAGCCTGAATCCATCAGAAGGGATGAACTGGTTATAAATATGGAGGTGGTCAGAAATTTAGGAAAAAGTGATCACAGTTTGATAGAATCCATGATTCTAAGGAAAGGAAAAAATGAGAAAAGCACATGAGAAAAGTAAAGGGGAGATATCAATTAGGCTAGATAAAGAGTAAAGTCAGGACAAACAAAATCAGGAAAGCAAAGAAGAAAATATGGGTGCAGTTTTAAGGCAAGAGATGTTAAGAAACATAAGGGATTTTACAAATATAATCAGATAGAAAAGAAAAGCCAGAGAAACTATGGCCGTGCTGCTCAAAGGAAGTGTGTTATTCTCAGCAGTTTAATAGATGGTGCAGCCGCTCAACATCTGCTTTGCTTCAGTCTTCATACAAAAAAGAAAATCCACAACCTGTGAGCACACAACTAATGATATTAACATAAACAAAGAGAGGGAAGGCTGGCAGATAATAATAAGTAAAGAGTATGTCAGAGAATTTTTGACAAATTTGAATGAATTTTAGTCCACAAGGCCTGACTGAATTCAGCCCACAGTGCTGAAGAAGTTAGCTGGAGAAGTCTTAGAGTTGCTGGCAGTGTCAGCAAAGTAAAAAATGACAAGCAAGGTCACAGAGAATGGAAGAAGGGCTAATATGGTGCCCAATTTTAGCAGGGGGAAAAGAGAGATTCCAGGTAGTTATAGACTGGTGTGTTTGGCTTCAATAATGGTAGAGCTAAGAACAAATCATGGCCAAACTAAGTTGATTTACTTCTTTGACAGGGTAACTCAATGAGGTAGGTAAGGGAAATGTGGTAGACAGAACATATCTGGACTTCAGTATGGGTTTTGATAGTCTCACACACCATTCTGAAAAGTAAACTGGAGAAATGTGGACCAGATAGAATTACTATGAGGTGGTGGGGGATACACAATTGGTTGGATAACTGCAAGCAGAGTACCTAGGAATGGATCGATATCAGACTGGCAGGAGGTCTCAAGTGGGGTTCTACAAGGGTCTGTTCTGGGCCCTTGGATACATGGATAGAGAGAAAACCAAGCAAAAATGCAGATGAGAAAACTGGGAAGGGGGCTGTAAACCCTTTGAAAGATAGGATTATAATTCAAAGAGATCTTTATAAATTAAAGAACTGAGATATAGACAACAAAAGGAAGTTCAACAAAGACAAATGTAAAATGCTACAAATGAAGAAAACTCTAGTACATAAAATACAGAATGGAGGATAGCAGTACTACTGAGAAGGATCTGGTAGAATGAAACTCAGTATCAGAGCACTGTGATGCTGTCACAAAAAAAAAGCAACTGTAGTGCTGGGTTGTATTACCAGAAGCATTGTATATGAAAGACAGAAGGTGACAATACCACCCCATTCGGTACTTGTAAGACACAAGCTGCAGTGTTGTGGCTATTTTTCTGACTGCATTATAAGGATCTTACCTAGGTGTACATGTGAAAGGTTCTGGTGTGATGGTCTCAGGACTCCATTCAAGCAGATCCATCAGGTACCTGACTAGATCTCTTACACATACACCATGACCCAGAGGCTCAACAGTTGCCTACTCTGTACTGCAGGGGATCCACAAGAAAACAAAAAAGGATAAAGGGGATGAAATGCAAGCTGTATGAGGAAAAGGTGAAGAAACTAGGTATGATTAAGAGGGAGATACGATAGCAGTTTTCCAGTATTTGAAAAACTGCCATGAAGACGACAGAGAGAAAGTGTCCTCCCTTGCCGCCAATAGCAGGACATGAGGTGATGGGATTTAAACTACAGCAAAGCAGATTTAGATCAAATCTCAGGGAAAATTCCTAGGTGTGAGACCAGCAGGATAGTAGAACAAGCTACCTTGGGCAATTGTGGAATTCACTCCACTGGCAGTCTTCACAAGGAGGCCAGATAGGTATCTACCCTGGATGATTTATGAATAGCGCATCGTACAAAAGCACATTGTCCAGGCAGAGAAATAGACTAAATGACCCTTGAGGTTCTTCCCAACCATAGGATTCTTTAGCACCACAGACAGACAAAGGGACTGATGCTGTACCTCAAGGCAAGCCCCCCAAGATTGCACTGGGGATTATG